AGACTCCCTGCCTGAGCTGACGGAGATCGTCTTGGACCTGGTGTTGAAGACTCCCAGGATGCTGGTCCTGGGGGACTTCAATCTCCATGCCGAGACGGTTCTAATTGGGGCAGCTCAGGACTTCATGGCCTCCATGGCGGCCATGGGGCTGTCTCAACACGTCAGTGCCCCGACCCATGAATGTGGACACACTCTGGACCTGGTTTTCTCAACAGGACAGGAAGAGGGTGTTCTGAGGGTGAGGAATTTAAGTTTGACATCCTTGTCATGGTCAGATCACTTCCTCTAAGATTTGAGCTCAAGAGCGGCCTTTTCCTCTGTAAGGGTGCGGACCAGTTTGTATTGCTCTGCCCCCGGAGCCGGATGGATCCTGATGGATTCCTGAAAGCTCTGGGGGATTTTCCGGTTGACAAGGCTGGTGATCCTGTCGATGCCCTGGTTGAATTATGGAATGGGGAGATGACCAGGGCTATTGACACTATTGCTCCCAAGCGTCCTCTCCCACCTGGCAGAGCCGGTTCATCTCCTTGGTATACACCTGAATTATGGGCAATGAAGCAGGTTGGGAGACATCTAGAGCGTAGGTGGAGGAGATCACGGGGTGAATCTGACCGAACACACTTAAGAGCCCATTATTGGGCCTATGCTGTGGCGGTGAGGATGGCGAAGAAGAAATTCTTCTCCGCTTCCATTGCCTCCTCACAATGCCGTCCGGCGGAGCTCTTTCAGGTGGTGCAGGGGCTGATACATCCAGGTCCAAAGAAAGATCTCGTACCACCCTCGAAGGCCCACTGTGACGACTTTGCAGGCATTTCAGGGGGAAAATTGCTCAGATTCGTCACGAGCTTGACTCTACTATTGAACCAGATTCTACTGAGGAGATGCCAACGACGCTGTCGAGTCCACAATTAATGGATGAATTTCAGTTGTTGTGGCCTGATGATGTGGACAAGGTGCTTGGACAAGTACGCCCTACCACCTGCTTACTAGACCCATGTCCATCTTGGCTACTTAAGAAAGCCAAGGACGGGATTGGGACCTGGATCCTGGAGGTGGTCAACGCTCCTTTAAGAGACGGTCGGGTACCTTCCTCTTTAAAAAAGGTGGTAGTCTGGCCAGTCCTAAAGAAGGCATCCCTGGATCCAGAGGTGGCCGCCAATTATAGACCGGTGGCCAGCATCCCGTTCCTGGGCAAGGTGCTAGAGCAGGTGGTGGCGGGACAACTCCAAGCATTCTTGGATGAAACTGATTATCTGGACCCATTTCAGTCCGGCTTCAGACCCGGGTACGGCACTGAATCTTCCTTAGTCACCCTATACGATGACCTGTGCAGAGAGAAGGACAGGGGGAGTGCATCTCTGTTAGTTCTCCTGGACCTCTCAGCGGCTTTCGATACCATCGACCATGGTATCCTTCTGAATAGGCAAGAGGGACTGGGAGTTGGAGGTACCGCATGGTGGTGGTTCCGCTCCTATCTCAACGGCCGATTTCAGAAGGTGGTGCTGGGGGACTATGGCGCTGCACCATGGCAGTTATGCCATGGAGTTCCGCAGGGGTCCATTTTGTCCCCCTTGCTATTCAACATCTACATGAAACCACTGGGAGAGGTCATCAGGAGGTGTGGGCTGCGGAGTCATCAGTACGCTGATGATACCCAGCTCTACCTCTCATTTTCCACCAATCCGGGTGAGGCAGTGGCTGTGCTGAACTGGTGCCTGGCCGAGGTAATGGGGTGGATGAGGGCCAATTACAAGACGGAGGTCCTGTTGGTGGGTGGTTCGGGCCTCGGGATGGGGAACTTGGGCCTTGTCCTAAATGGGGTTGCACTCCATCTGAGGGACAGGGTTCGCAGCTTAGGAGTGCTCCTCAACCCTGAGCTGTCTTTAGAAGCTCAGGTGACGGCGGTGGTGAGGAGCACTTTCCTTCAGCTTCGGCTGATCCATCAGCTGCGTCCCTTCCTGGAGAATGACTGCCTGGCGACAGTGACACACGCGTTGGTAACTTCCCGATTAGATTTCTGCAACACACTCTATGTGGAGCTACCCTTGAAGACGGTCCGGATACTTCAATTGGTGCAGAATAGAGCTGCCAGGCTGCTGACGGGGACTGGGCGTTGTTCTCATATAACCCCAGTTCTCCGTCAGCTCCACTGGCTCCCTATTGAAGTCCGGGCCCAATTCAAGGTGTTGGTTATGACCTATAAAGCCCTCAATGGCTTGGGTCCTGGGTATTTAAAGGAACGCTTGCATCCATATATGCCCGCCCGCCCCTTGAGATCTGCGGGAGAAGTCCTTCTCCGAGAACCTTCCATGAAGGAAATTAGGAGGGTGAGTACCCGGAGGAGGGCTTTCTCTGCGGTGGTGCCCCATCTATGGAATACGCTCCCCAGAGAGGTCCACCTGGCGCTGTTGTTATTTGTTTTTCGGCGCCAGGCTAAGACCTTTTTATTTAAAACTTACTTTAATTGTTAATTTATTGGTTATTTATAGGATTTTAAATCTTTTAAGCCGAGATGCACCAGGTTTTAATATTTTTATTGTACAATTTGTTATATTTTGTTCTTGTTGTGAGCCGCCCCGAGGCTTTGTTGCGATGGGGACGGCATAAAAATGTTTTAAATAAATAAATAATAAAATAAATGACAGGTGTAATGGTAAGTTCAGCTTCAGAGTAATAAGCTGCAGAAATGCATACAGTTCAGATGGAAACTGAAATCCAAAACATCTGGGGGGAGCCTGGTTTGGGAAGGATGACCTATGCAAGCAAGACCTGTGTTGGATCACTCCTAGAGCTAGTCAGTTATGCTCCTGGGAGTCAATGCTGCAACTTATGCCAGGGATAGGCTTTTGATTCCTGTCTCAGTTACTGCCTTTTACTATCAGTTGCATGTAACCTGTGAGATAGGAGCCACTTTAGAATGTGGCTGGATTGTAACTCCCACCAACCCTGGCCATCCTCCACGCCGGCTGGAGTGATAGGAGGGGGAGTCCAGCAACATCTGGAGCCCCCCACCCCTCACACAGAACGGCTCTGATAACTTAGGGTAGAAGAGGCTAGGGATAAATATCTCCAACCCCACCCTCACCAAGGTGGGTGTCCCTCTCTGAATGGAAAACTTGCTTCACATGCACAGGCTGGATCTCATCACCTGTTTAATTCTGCTGTCCACAGGTGTCAGAGTAAGGAGAAAGTAGTTGTAGGCAGAGTATAACCTAAAACTATCACTAGTACAATTTAACTTTAATATGACTGTAATACAATTTTAGTATATATTTATATTTTTGGCTTTTATGTAAACCATCTTGAGATTTTATAATAATCAGCCTGTATATAAGAAATTTAAAATAACTAAAATAACTACCACCTCCATAATGACAAGTATCCAGAAAGACTAATTATACATGGCAATTTTTAATTGCCTCCTCCCTAATTTCTAAATCCATTGGCCTTCCTTATGTGGGGTCCCATCACTAAGCGCTGCCCACTGATACGTTCCTTTTAACATTTTCTTTCCCCCAAACAATCCCAACAAAATGTGTAATACTGTTCAGGTGCTGTCCTTTCCTGATTAGGGTGGGTGGGAGGGAGGGGGGGCATGGCTGTGCTTTACTCCCAGTATGCTCTTCATAATGACATTATGATGTTCTTCCTATTTTTCCCCTTCTTAGCATACCAAGTGTGGTGTAAGCTTTTTTTCTGGAGCACGGCTGCACACTGTACAGATTCTTGCATTAATCTGTCTTCCATTATGCATAAGCCTCTCTCTTAAGAGGCTACAACTGATTCATAAGCTATTACAGCACAGGAGTAATTTGAAATGATCACTGACAACATAAATCATCCTGCAGGGCAACCGAATTTTTATAATCAGTGTCTATGAGATGAGCACAGATCGTATCTATTAGTAGTAACAGCAGCAGCAGCAGCTGTAGTATTTTTGAACCACCACCCCTTCCAAGGCAGTAAAGTCTTCAACACTTTGACAACTGCAAACAATGCCGGGTCCTTCAGCACATTCATGGTGCCACAGTGGCCAGAGAGCCAGGCTTGGATGAGAGAGCAGGCAAGTAAATCACCACCTCCTGGTTGTGAAATAAGAATTCTGCATGCAGCTCGCTGAAGAATTAAGAGCTCCCCAAAATCAGCACCTGGCCGTGTGGCTCACAACACGCAATAAGCAAAGGGTGGAAACAGATTAGAGTCCATGTATTGTTGCTGCCCAAAACAAGCAGCCTCCACTTTGGCCTGGTTATTTGGGAGCAGAGCAAGAGGTGCCAGCAACTGACCATAAAAAGGATACAGTTTTGTGCCTAGGTTGAGAAGGGGTGAGGTGAGCAGGGCACTGACGGCGCTACTTAAAAAGATTAAGGAAGGGGTTTAGTCAGAGCTGCTGCTTGAGCACGACTGGCAGCTCTGAATGAACTCTGCTTCTAGGTATCTAGGCAGGGCTATTTTAGGGAGCGTGGCAGAAACCCCTCTTCTTGGGTAGCGTCATCAAAGTACCTTCTCTGGTAAACATTAATGATGTCTAGTATCAGCAATGCAGGATACCTCAGAAATTGTGGGCATTGACCAATACACATCTCAACAACGACCAGTTTTTCAATTTCACACTTTCTGCTGAATGTCTGTGGTGTCCAGAGTGGCCCTTTTGCAGCCATCCAGGTAAGCTCACTAAATAGAACATCTTGCTGTGACTCCCACCTGCCCTTCCGCACATGAGTTTCCATCAGTCTTTCCTGATTAGAGTTCCCCGTACTGAAATAGCAGCTGTGTTGCTAATGTGTGTGACCTTGGATTGCGAGGAAGCTAGAGAGAGATGAAGAGTGAAACCCTGTCAGGGAAGAGTATTTGTGTATTCTGAGTGCAGGACTCCTCCTGATAGGGAGTGTCTTGAAAAAAACACGGTATGCATACCAAGACAACGAGTTCATTATGAGGAAAAGGGATGCAAATTTGCCGAAGGGGACAGAAAAGGGGAAGAAGAACTTTTGACATACCTTGTCTGTGTAGACGAAGAACAGAATCACGACAGTAAGCTCCAGCACAAATACGAGTAACAGCATGATAAAAAACTGTAAAAAGAAGAGGGGGTGGGAAAGAAACAAAAACCCAGAAATGATCAAAATCTCTTCCATCTTCCTGATGTTATGCAAAAGATACTTCCACACATGAAAGAGCTGGTTTTACCTGGGCCTGGTTCTCACCCAGAAGGGAGACATGTCTGGGTGGGACGATTCTGAGGTAAGTGAGGCTCATATGACTGAATGCTCCTCCACATAAGGACACGTCCTGCACTCAGAAAACGGGCCTGCTAGGGAAGACAGCTAAGCAAGACCCCTTCCTTTGGACAGCCAGTTCCCTAGGAGAAGGGACAGTTGCCTGAAGGGAAAATATCCAGCCCTGTGAGCCCCACCTGCTGCCTAATACCGTGTACAGGGCTAGCAGCAAGGGAAGGTCCCGCCAGGCATCTGCCAAGTGCCTGCACCCAGCAAGGGTTCACTGCTCAAAGCCCCTGGAGTTGCTCTTCGGCTTCACCACTGCAACCCGCTTGCTCGCCTGTCTCCAGCTTAGGCACAGGCAAGTGAGAAGGAGACGTGGAGGACGCTACTGCTTTCAGGCCCCTGCCTGCCAAGCAAGGGGTAGCAATTATGACAAAGAGGGCAACGCTCAATAGCAGGAGGCCACAATATTGGTGAGCAACTAGACTCACTTGGAGGGGGGACCATGGAGGGGGCCTTGCCAAGGGCCTAAAAATCTGCAGCCAGCACTGCAGACAGCCCAGACCATCTCAGCAGAAGCTCAAAGGCACCAAGGTATGAATGATATTTCATATGAGTAAGACGAGAGATGTCCATCAAAGAACTAAGAAGGACAACCAAGGTGTGGTTTTTTAGAAACTCCAGTGTCCTGCTTCCATTGCAGCTAAGGGGATCGCTTGCATCAATCCACCAAGCCAGGATTAAGACATCCACAGTAACTTTCATGGATGGCAGTGCCTTTTGCCCAACAGATATTTCATCTTTACCATGCCACTTAGCCATCCTGCCCCAGATAATCCTGCCACCAACCCCCTCCAGTGTGGCTCCTGGGGATAGATGTACGCAGAACAGATGCACACAGCCACAAGGCAAAATGGCCAGCAGGGAAAGGATTAAGAAGCCCTCCTTCCCTTCCCTTCCCTTCCCTTCCCTTCCCTTCCCTTTCACCCAATCTGCCATGGGCCAAGACTCTTTTTTGTTTTAAGTAGGTACACATGCAATCACCTGTGCATCACCTATAATTCACCCTGAAATATGCCGAAGTTACAAGGCAGAGAAGAACTACAAGGAGCACTGGTAATGCTTCCAAATTTACAGCTCCCAAGTGCATTACCTGCTTTTATGGCTAAGAAGTGGCAGTGGGCCTCATTTAAATATATGGATCTTAGCTGCCTGTGTCATTTTATTTATCGGATAATTTTATGACATTACACTTTAAAAATCCTTCTCCTATGGAGCTCAAGGGCAAAATGCATGGTTCTCTGTATCCTGCTCCTTTTCACTCGTAAAACAACCCTTTGAAGTTGTTTAGACTGTCTCAAGGTCACTCAGTGGGTTCCATGGTTAAACAGAAATTCGAAGTACAGCTTCCACACTGACATTAACCATTGCACCACACTAGCCCTCATTGTTTTCGGCAAGATGTTCATGATGTGTAAAAAGCTGCCCCTCCTTCACATGCTTGTTATCATTATGCTCAAGAATGGCATATGTATGAGAAGTGAACTTGCTCAAGAGGAGGTGAGGAAGCAAGAAAAAGGAATGGGGACTTTTGCTGGGGACAAGTATTTCAGGGCTTCAACTACTTCCCAAGGTTGTTCACAAGTTATGTGTGTAACAAAGTTGGTAGGCTTTTTTGTGCAGCACTAAGCAACAGCAGAGGTTACAGGTAAAGGTGACATAATCAGATTTTTAATTTAGCAATCTACGTTCAAGAATCTAAAGCAATTTAATATTTAGGTCTCGCTGACTCCTGCCATTCCTGGGCATACCTTTCACCCCCCAGTTCTGCAGGGAATGCTCTCTTGCTCTTTTATTGCCTCTCTAACCTTTTTGCTTGTTCTCCAGGGAGCTTCTTTTGCTAAGCAAGCCCATTTCACCTCCATAAAATAATACTTGATGATTAACCTCAATGTAGGATTAGACAACAAAGCCAGATTTAAAATAGCATTGCGCTTACTTTCTCCTGATAAAACAACAACAGGCAAATGCATGTTCAGCCACAGGCTATTCTGTGCAGCTTTAGAAAAAAGGCTCGTTCAAAAGTGACAAAGGGAACGTGTACTGGACTTCATTCAGCTCCTCCTGCACACAAGCCAACCCACACACAGCATAAATTTGAACTGGGAGTTGTGCGGGAAGAGCACAGCAGGATGCATATATTTGCAGGACAGATTGAAAATTACGTGTAGTGATGAATGTGCAGCCTGATCCATCATGATTGTGAAGGAGTAAGCGGGATTAAACCTTGGTCTGAGATCCTATGAAGCCGGGCATGCATTTTGGGAGAGAGCTACATATGCAGCCAGAAGAATATTCAAGGTTTCTGTTGCAGCCACCTGCTTTGCTCAACACACAAGCCAATTCTAAACTGAAAACCAGTTTAGAGATTCGGCTGTGCAAATACCTGTAGCAGAAAAACAAAGCATCACCAGCTGTTACATGCCATTTTCTACATGGCATGGAAGTGCAGAATTTCAGTCTGCCTCCAGTCTAGATACTGACTGGGTTCAGGCAACACAAGAACCCACACTCAAGGTTTGAGTATGGGTTGATATGGGTCACTGCTGAACTGTGGGTTATTAATACATGGGTTATTGTGTTGTCTGAACCTAGCTGTGCTGACTTATTAACCACAAACAACCCATTAAGAGAACCTATGGTTTGTTGTTGGGTTGGGAACTGTAGGTTGTTCACCATGGATGGTTACTTTGGCTGGCTTTAGACAACACATAACCCATGTTTGAACAACTCAGGGTTCAACACTAAACCATAGTCAACCCATAATTGATATTTGTTTACCATTTAGTTTAAACCCAGTCATTGGAGAGCTCACAGTATGTAAGCTAATGCATGACACATATGGCTACATATTTGTATATATCAATTTTATGTGCACCATAGTCTCAAAATTTTATCATTGGAATATCTTATATTTAGAGGATGGGTGGGACCTCAGGTGAAAACTGAGCTCCACTGTGACCTTCCAAAGTTCTCCAAATGGTCATGTGTCTTTCCCTTAGCCTCACACCATTTTCTTCTTCTAAAACATTGAAATCCCTCTCCTAATGATTACTGGGAGGATTAAGCTGCAAGATGCAGGCATTTTCTGCATATGTGGCCCTTCCCCCTTGTGCTTGGACCCGCGCTTTTTGCCCTCGGCCCTAACTCTCATTGAACTGTGGCCCTCAGAATTTCTCCAAAAGTGAATATGGCCTCCAGGAGGCTGAGAGATGTTCTCCACCAATAACTGAGAGATGAAGGAAGTAGAGAAGGCAACTAAACATAGATAATTCTAAGCATAGAGAAATATTTATTTCTGAGTACATAGAATTTGACTGCACATTAATTAGAGAAAATTTCTTAATCTGTTGGGAATCTCTCAAAGGACAGGAAGCTAAAGCAAGCTTCAACACTGTATCACAATTTAAAGCCATTCAGCAGGCATTTAGTTAAAACTCATTTGTTCCGCCAGGACTTTCTGAATCTTCAGCATTTTCCTGAATTTTCCTCTGTGAATTGCAGAATGTGAATGTGTGTGTGCTTGTGTGCATGTATGCACACACACGTGTGCCACAGATGTTTTAAAGTGTGTTATTTTATGCAATTTTGTTTTCATTCTGCTTCTAATTATTTTTGCTGTAAGCTGTGCTGTGGTGCAGAAAGCTGAAAATGGCATGTCTAAAGGAATGTAACTGAATTACAATACTGTATAAAACAGAACACTCATACAAGAAGTGTTGGTATAGAGATTGGAAAAGCAGTTGTGCAGCAGTGAATTGCAAACGTCAGTAAAGTGAACAATGTGGATCACAAAAGAAAGGTGGAGGCTGCTGGATGCCTTTGCCTTTGTTACTCTTGCCTTTGGGAAATATCATCAGTCCCTCTCAGTGTATTCACTCCATCTGCAGCAGAAGGGGAAATCATTTGCAACAGCAAAGGACAGTAGAGATCTCAGAGTGCCCAAAAAGAAGCGATGTTCTCCCATGGTTTCATCTTCACCTTATGCTAGAATGTACTTTAAATAATCTCCCACTTTAGGCAGTTCTCTAAAATGTGTTTTACTGATACAGAGGAAACTTGATTGGTCTTTAAAAGATAAAAAAGGGTAAAATTTCATCAAAGTAGGGGACATCCTATTCCTCCAATGCAGACAGAGACACAGATAGATGCACACTTGTATACAATAGTATAATTGAAACACAGAGCAATGGCTTGATTGAAAGCTCATTCCTAGAAGTTAAAATTTGCTGGACATTCATTTTGAGTTACTCACTTCCAAACCTGTAGAAACTTATTGACTAACACAAATCTTATTAAGGCTTTTTATTTCTTATTTGATTGAATGAATGTCAAACCTTTCAACCCATGAGTTTCCACAATAAAAAAAGAACATAGGAAGGAAGAAACATAATTTCCGACCATGAGCAATGTTTTCTCCAGCTTTATTACATTTGTCCCCGTGAGGCTTAAATTAAGGTCTGTCTTCAAATCCATGGCTGAAAATTGAAGATCTGGCTTAGAGCTTAATACCAGAACATATTATTGGTTCTGGATCATAACCAACAATTTGCCAGCATGACCTTCCTATTATTACTATCCACAACTGATCCCCTGCATAGAACTGAACACTAACCTAATATATGCATGTCAACACAGAGGCAAATCCCAGTGAGTTCAGTAGTTTCAGTGAAACTAGTTCACAGGGAGTTCAGTTTACTACCTGTGAACTAGTAAGAGATTGCAGCCTAAGTATTTTGCAGCACTGCAATTGCAGCTCAACAATAAAGAAAAAAGGATTAATTATTCCATCC